AGTCGACCCATCAGAACATAAATATTTCAGCAGCTTCGTCGCACTGTCACGTACCACACTCGCGCACAACTGTTGCACAACTGCTGGCGGTGGCACGGGCACTGTTCAGCGTTTCAGTCTGCCAATTGAATTAAAGTAAATGACAACGAATGCATCTACCTACATGCTGCCTCCACGTTGCAATTTTAAAGCCTCCTTTCGAGGGACTTGGGTTTGGGTATGGCTGCTGCTGGGAGTGCCCATGTGTGTCTGAGTGGGAGTGGAGTGCATAATTGCAGCTATTGTTTAAATATTTGCCAACATAATTAACTTAATTCAATTGGATTTCCATTAGAGCCGCCGCACGCACATCTTGAACCCTCGCAGGCGGAGCTGGAGATGGGTGAAGGATGAATGGCTGCCACACAGTGTTTGCTCAGCTAAGGTATACCCCACCATCTAAGGATATCGAATCAAAGGATTGGCCCTGCATAACATATGAGCCTGCGGAGGAGCCAAATTCTACTTTGGCTTCGACTTCGACTTCGACTACGATGACGTTGTCTATTGACTTTGGAAATCGAATTGAATGCGGCAGCAAATCACACAATAAAATAATTGATTCCATTTCAAATGCACACACACACACACCCCAAAGGGAAAGCTGAAGACTCTTGGCAGGATGCGGGTCGTATCGTGTATCTGGTAATGCCAATGCTGGCTAGGACAGGACTCCTTTGCTGCTGTCTGGTGCTGAGTACAACTTTATTTTCATTGTTTGCAGATTTAACATTTAGCGCACACACGGAGGAGCAGCAGAAGGAGTTGGAAGAAGATATCCAGTGGCAGCAGCTCCGGGGCCAAGTGCCAATTGATTATTTATACGGAGGCTTTCCCATTAGGCCTCCTTGCTGACCGCTTGGAGCAGTTCTTTGCGGGTCTTGCGACGCATTCGCAAATTCGAGATGAGACGTACGGTACAGAAATAGACCAGCTCCACGATACTAAGCATAGAGACGCCCATGAAGAGGCCCAAGAGACCGCCGCAGTTGGCCAGAAAGTCGGTGGTGCCGTACAGCTCGGAGCGGCGCGACGTTAGGAACTGAGCCTCCTTGAAGAAGATCGAGACACGCGACATCTTCATCCTGAACAGCGGAGAGAGACGGTGAACGGTGAGACGGGATAGCTTCTGCTTCCGATATTGAGTGGCTTACCCTTCCAGCTTGGTCTGAGCCTCCTTGCCCTCGGGCGTGTCCCTATTGATCACCGTCTGGTAGTCAAAGTCCGCCTGGGATATCTCCGCCTCGTAGGCTATTGAGGTGCATGAGGGCAAACAGTTGCACTCGGTCTCACCGCGTGTATTCTCCCCCGACGACACCAGCCCCTGGGTGAACTCCCTGAGCAGCAGCTCGTCCTCCGCCTGGTTATAGCACTTGAGATTGGCCGCACCACAAACGGGCATATTCACATTGCCTGGAATAGGAAGCCATGAGAATTCCTGTTCAATTTTTCGATGGCGGGGACGGAAAACCTACGCGGCATTGAGAACTTGACGCATCCGCACTTGGTCAGGGTGAAGTTGGCCAGACACTCCAGTTCGCAGTTGCTCTGCGAGTAGATATTGAAGAAGCGCAGATCCTTCTCCTTTTGGAAGTAGCATTGCCGTCGGTTCGGCTCGTAGTGCTTCAGTCCGTCCGAGGTGGTGATGATCTTGGGCCGGATGGAGATGAGCACCTCCTGGTCGAAGGGTATGCGGAAATACTGCTTCGACACTTGAGCCACATCGCCGGGTGTGTGTAAGAGAATCTGAAAGCGAAAGGTAAGTTCTCTTTTCAGCGAGTAGTCCACAGGAATATTCCACCTTGAAACCCTGAACAGGACCACGGCACAAATCATCAAAGTCCATCTCCACGCCACCCATAAACAGGTAGAGACCGGCCCTGGAACCGGGCCCCAGCACTCGATTGGGATACGGCGATGTATCAGCGCTGGCGCTGTAGCCATCCTCCACATTCCAGTCCATGGACAGACGATTCTCCTCGCGGAATATAAAATCGGGAATAATGCTGGAAGATTCCTCAGCTTGAGTGGAACTCGCAGAAACGGCAGCTACCCACAACTTACCCCTCGGGGCGATAGATCTCGGCGGGACTGAGCGAGTTGAAGCTATAGCAGACACCATCTTCGGTGACGAACTTGTGGAAAATGTCGCTGCACTTGACGGGCGTATTGCGCCACTTACAGTTGAGGTAGGTGTCGTCGAACAGAGGCGACACCTCGTTCAGCGAGTCAATGATCTCCATGCCCTTTTTGGTCTTCTTGCCCAGGGAAATGTCGTGCAGATGGGCCTCGCACACCTGAGTCACAGCGCCATACAAATCTTTTCTATGAAGAGAGAGAGGTAGGGACATACTCGCACCTCCGGGAACTCATGGAAGCGACTTACTGCTTATCGTTGAGGTCCACTATTCCACTGATATTGTTGGAAAAGTCGCGAATTTGGTGGTAGCTGTCGGTGAAATTGAATATGGAACGACGCGTCTTTGTCTCGGGACAAACGGTGACGGCCGGAAAGGGTATCTGCCAGACGGGCGTGGACTTCTCGGCGAAGCTCACGATCACTGGATTGTTGTTCCACTTATCCCAGATGTTGAGGGTCAGCTTGCAGCAGGTGAAGATGGACAGCAGCAGCACGCTGACCCAGAACAGACGCTCCAGCCAGGGGCGCTTCTTCTCGCCCAGATACCGAATGCCGTGGATGGTCGTGTAGTCGCAGTATTCATGCATAATGGCCTTGGCCGCCTGAAAGCCGCTGCCGTACTTGATCTGCTTCTTGGTGTCCACCTCATCCTCGCTGTCATCCGAGACGGTCTCCCGAAAAGCGGGCGCCGCCCTGGCCATCAGAGCGGCTCGCTTCCACTGGTTCGCGCCGGACAGCTGGACCCGCGTCAGGTCGTGGCTGGGTGTGTGTGGCTGGGTGCTGTTGGTAGACATGGTCGAAACTGGATACGGTCCGACGTGCTGCACTTGCGTTGACTAAGTCAGGAGAGCGCACGCAAAGGCGTCGTCTTTTATAGCTGACCGGAGAGGTGCGGCTGCCCAGGAAGAGTCCGTTGGGGCGCTGGATCTGCCCCCGAAGGATTCCTGCACGCATCACGCATAGTATACGAGGAAATTCGTCAGGGGTTGGTGCAGAATATACATATATGAGAGCGGGGGCCTGGGCGCCTCAGTTTTCGGTGGCGTTTCAATTACTTCATTCTCGCTAAGCTGTTGTAATTTGCAAGCTCGCACCTGGACAAAGTTGGACTGCAGAGCAGTCCCCGGGGCCAGCAGCAGCAGCAGCCAGTCGGAGGGAGTAATTGTCAGCGCTGACCCAATGCCGGCTAAATGTTACCTTCGAGCCCGCTCTGGGTGAGGCATTCTAATTAGCAGTCGCGTACTTTAAGCTCACCAAGCCCCGGCCCTGGGCTTGGGCTTGGGCTCGCTTCAACCCCATCTGCATCCGGTGTCGAGGTGCACCTGAAGTACGGCAAAATTGAAAAGGCTGCTGCTGTTGCTCCTCGGGCCGCGATTGCTGTGCCCACGGCCCAGGCTTATGCATTTTACATCCTTGCGTAGGAATCGACTGCTTGGCCACTCCACTGCAGGCGCTTAGCGCGAACTCGAAACGAAATGGCAAACGGCCGCAGACGCAGACAATGTCGAGCCAAATCCTCAGGTTAAACGCCACACAGCCGGAACACTAGCACAAATGAATGAAACACGTGGCCAGCCGAATGCTCAATACACTTTCTAAAAACAACACAAACAAAAATACATTATAACAATAAAAAAAATATATACAAAAAATAATGAACACACAGTGTAAAAATAAAAAATAAATTAAAATAAAAAAAAATATATTAAAAATACAAAATTAAAACAAAATATTAAAAATATAAATATAAAAAATTAAAACAAAATATTAAAAATAAAAAATTATTCAAAAACCATTTAAACAAAATAACAATAAAAGAAAAAAAAGTAATTTAAAACATAATTACACCATGGAAATTAGCCGCTACCTCATAGCCCAGCGACTAGAACCAGTTGAGAATTACAAGGGCAGGAAAATAGTCAAAAATGACGCCGATTTATTGTCTTGTCTTTTTTATGGTAAAAATACCAGTATTTTAAAGATTACCTCAGCCAAAAATTCGGGCAGATAGGAACAGATCGGCGAAGGACCTTTTTTCACAGAATCGTAAGGATCAAGGATCAATTTCCACAAAAAAAATTAGGTCGTTTTTTGCCTAATTCCATGATGATTTTTGTAAAAACCTTGCAAAAGTGTGTGTCCTTTTGGGTGACAATCGATTTGCAGGACTCACCCGATCACGAAAATACATACCACGCCCAGATCGTCAGATATATCATTACAGTTCGTAAAATATCTCATTAAACAAACGCCACTTTATTTATTACAATAAGCAGCACCTGTCCAAGCCTGATCTGAAAGTAATTATGCCCTTAGTTTTGGGTCCAACAAAGCGCCGCAACAGCCAGTGGCAAGGACATGCACAACAAAAAGGTGCGCACATCCACAAGAGGCGCCACACACACAACACGATGCGACCGTTTTCGTTGCGCAATTTAATATAGTTAACTGCAACCTGGCTGGGCATTGTGTCTAGATTTTTGGGGGCTGGCACTTGCAACTCCACGACAGCCAGGAACTCACCTTTTGTTGGGACTTTTCATTATCGTGGCGCTGGGCTTTCAACAATGTTGGCATTGTCCTTGCCCTCCCTGTTGCCTGTTTTTCGGCTCTGGCTCTAAATATTTACACACTCCACTGGCTGGCAGGTTCTGTGTCGGTGTCTGGCGATCTTCATATATTTTAATGAGCTCGAAAATAGAATTTCAAATGCGTTGCACCCAAGGACAGAGTCACAGGGTGCCCAAAAAAACTTTCCCTTTCATAGTTCCGCATTAAAATATTTCACTAAAACATTTGTATGTGTATGTATTATCTGTATATGTATGTATATATTTGGTATTTCCATTTGTTTAATACATTTCATTTGCTTGTTTATATGCTTAAGCTGGAGGACATTGAATTGAATGTTGTTACTTTTACTAGTTACAAATTTTGTTGCCTGGTAGTAGTAGCAGTAGTACATAATACATAGGTTTATCCTATTTACATAGCCGCTACTTTTGATATACGAGTATGTGTATGTATGTGTGTGGGTATTACAGAATATAGTTATTAAGTTTACGCGTATTTGATTATGGTACTATATAATAGCGCTCTCTGCCGCACAAGTTTCTTTGAGTTTGTTTTTGAAACACCTTTTGTAGCTACAACTACTTTTGATATACAATTTGCGTGGCTTCAATTTTGTTCTCTCGCTACGGTAATTCCGCTTGATAAATAAAATATATAGAAAATATATAAATTACAATTAAAGCCTGGGCATTAACAAAGATCTTATGATTCTTTAATTTGTATCCTTGTAATTGCTGTTTAACTATATACAAAGCTCGTTGCCGTTTCCCCGTTTCCAGTTTAATCTGCCCCATTGTCCATGCACCCTTCTTCGCCTTTACCCTGCTGACAGTCGCTGACAGTTTAAGCCTTCCATAATTTTACCTATACGTTCACTTTTGCAGTTCTGAAACCCCAAACAAATACCCTCGTTTGAAACGCTAAACCCAAAGGACATGCGAACAACAACACAAACATAAAAATAAAAATGACCAAACGATTACAATTATTGTACATATACATATGCGTAAGTACACCTCATTGTAATTGTTGTAGCTACCGCTAGTTATATGCAACGGGTTTATCTGTATCTCTATAGCTAATTTAAAATGATATGTTTGCTGTATGTAATTTGCGTCCTCTTCCCGCCCGGTTAGTCTGTTACAAAAATACTGAAGAATTGCACTTGTATCGGATATCGGATATGGGATATCGGATAAAGATAAACCCCACACAACACCCCCTATCCAAAGGCAGTTCTCTGAACCTATTGCGGTGCCAGGGCCATGCTCAGGCTATTTGACATCAGGCTCAGGGCAGTGGCCGCCGATGGTGCCGCAGTGGGGCCAGACGTCTCCTGAAAGAATGTGCCAAAGAATAATCAAAGATAAATCAGTTAGATACAGGAATCTCTCTCAACTGTATTTTAAGCAGAAGTATGTCTAATCAAATGGCTCTTCCATACTCACAATGCTCAGAGTTCGCACAATGCAGGCGCGTGTGGCCGTCGGTTCATCCGGCTCGAGTCCTGGGGAGCTGCCCCGCGAGGATACCGAGCCGTTCAGAAGCTTCCCGTTCATGTTCACGTCGTCCGAGTGATGCGTCTGCTGCGAGCTGCTGGACAGCCGTCCATCCAGCGACAGGTCGTCACGCTGCTGGTCCTGCAAGAGAAGCGTTTGAGCATCAGCAGATCTGTCGAGTGAGTGTAGCGCTGCACGCACCTCCTTGGGACTGGGGCTGGGACTGAACTTGATGTCCACCAAGCAGTTTGTCTCCGTGTCGCTGGCAGCTCCATTCTCGACCGATCCGGGCAGAACAATGGCCGCCTCGCCTGTGGGCGACATGTGGCCATTGCTGATGGTGCTGTGGTTATTGTTGCTAATTTTGTGATTGTTATTGGGCTCCTTGTTAAGTGTTGATGAGGCAGGCATCTGCTTTGTGGCAGCCTCATCAGCGACCAGCGTTGCATGTCCATTCTCCACAGTTGCATTGGCATTGTTCACTGTGTGGTTGTTCACGTTCACTGTGATGGCGGCGCCGCTGTTGGTGGCATTGCCAGTGCCGTTGGCATTGACATTGGCTGCTGCCTCATCGCCCAGCTCGTAAATGTTAACCATGTGTGCGGCCTGTGCGTGGACCATCAAATCCCAGGGATTGGCGAAGGCATCCTTGCAAACGGCGCAAAGCAATTTGGCGCTCGATGGTGGTGTCTCTGCGTTTTGTGTGTCGAGTGGAGTGGAGTGGAGTGGAGTGTGGGAAAACATGCGAGAATTAATTAGTTATTTAAGTTGGAATTTGCAGAGGGCCGACGTCGAGGCCCTGTCCGCATAAATAACTCAATTTTAAATGCATTTGCAAGCAGCCGCAAGCCTCAGGACCCTGGCTCCTGCCCCACTACTTAGCCACAGCCAGACATACTGGATATGGATATGGCTATACGGATCTGCAGCCAGATGTTGCTGACTTGCAAACAGGCCAGCCACTCGCTCACTCACTCACAATGAGCCTTAGACAAACACTTTGGTCCTGAGACTGGGACCGGGCCTCGCCCTGGGCCAGCATTGGGGGCAAAAAGTGTTTAACAATCATAAATTAATTGCCAACAGACAAGCTGCCACACCCAGTCTCAGACGCAGTCCCCCTCCCTGCCCCACTTACTTGCACTGGCCGCAAAGGCAACATCCTGGCACTTGCATGTGAACCTCAGCTTGCAATAACTTTTCTTGTGGTCCAATAACTCAGACAGCTCGCCGAAGCATTCCCGGCAATTGCCGCAGATTAATGTGTCCGGATTGCCTGCAAATATGCGAAAGAACTTGTTTTAGATGCTTCCCAGACTGAGCCAACTTAATCACTTAATACTCTATTAGTTTTAATTATGTTCTGCATAATTCAAGGATCATTTTTCCTATATTTTCTATTACTAGCCACTTAAGTTACGGAACCTTCTGATGCAATTTTTATAATTCGAAATCAATAAAAAAAATATATATTTAAGGGAACAACAATGAGGATATTCTGCTCTCAGTGGACACGATCGATCGTATTCCTTATGTTGATGGGCCAGAGCTTGACCTCGGCCTGCAGCAGGCGCTGCCTGTCCAGTAATCGACGCTTCTTGCGGCCGCCAGGGTTCTCGCGTGGCTTTCGTTGCTGCGCCTGCAGCTGCAGATCACTGGACTCAAGCTCATTGTGACCGAAGGCCTCGCCCTCCCTTTCGCGGCGATATCGGAGCAGGTTGGTAAAGGCATCCATCTGAAGATCGGGCCGGAAGACATGTCGCCCGGTGCGGGGTTGCTGTTGTTGCTGTTGTTGCGCCTGATGCTCCTTGGTCTCTGGGCTCTGCTCGTTCTGGAAGTTCAGGGAGATGCTGATGGGAAGCAGTCCGCTGATTTTCTTCGATGCCTTGGTGCAGCAGGCTAGCTTCTTGGTGGTCTTTGTCTTGGGCTTGGATGTGGGTTTGGGTGTGGATGTGGTGGCCTTCCCTTTGTCCTTTTTCTTGTCCGGCTTGGCAGGTTTCACATCCACAATGACCTTCTCCCCATCCTTGGGCTCCTCTGTTGTTTCCCCTTCATCGGGCGACTCTGTTGCACATTCCTCAGTGTCCTCCGAAATATCAGGAGCCTCGGTGCAGGCCAACGCGGCACCATTCGTGTCGGGCTGGTTCTTTGGGTGCATCCCAAAAAACTGTTGGAGCTGCTGCAGCAGCGACGCTTGATCGCCTGTCTGCGCCGTCCTCTGGGGCCGAAACTCCTCCGGCTCGGCAGCTGGCTGTGGCGCGGACAACTCCATGAATGGTAGCTCCAAATTGTGCTGTTCCGTGAACTCCTTGACATTTTCGTTCTCCGCGGCCGACGGAGTGATGAACGGCACCTGCTGGGCAATCGCCTCAACCACAGCGGGCATCTCCATGAGTTTCTTTAGGGATTGGTAGGAAAGCCTCGACGGCCTCAGCTCGCCGAAATAATCCACATTATTCTCCGGCTCCTGTAACTGTACTTGCTGCTGCGGTTTCTGCACCTGCTCTGGCTGGCTCGTCATGGCGTATCGGTTGCCGTCCGACTTCCTGAGAAGGCTTTCCTTGAGGCTCAGAACCCCGTTGACGTAATCGGGGGCCAGACGTGGTGGCGTGGCCAGAGGGGCATCTAGCGGGAATGCCTGCCACAGCGTCTGCTCAGCCTCCTGAGACTGCGGCTGCTGCGTCTGGGTCTGCTGGCCGTGGACGCTACTCAAAATGGCAATGAGAACGGCTGAGAGAGCGACGGCTGCCTCGCGTTGAAACATTTCTCACTTTCCGAGAGACACACACAGATGAGAGTCGAAAGGCGCTTCGTTATGTCTGACAGATTAATCAAAGACAGACTTTCCGAATTTTCTGATTCTGATTCTCAAGCCAGTAGCCAGGCCTGCTTAAAGATATTACACACACACTTCCATTAAAATATTCCTTGTGCCTTACCCACCCGCTAAACCACTCAAGTCAATACTCACTGTACACTTTGAAAGGTCCCCAGTGCTGATGCAAACTTAATTGCTCCTGTGCATGTTGCTGTTGCTGCTGCTGTTGTTGCTGCTGCTGTTGCTGCTGTTGCTGCTGTTGTTGCTGCATCAATTGGCTGTGCAACTGAAGGGGCGTTGCTACCTGATGAGGCTGCGGTTGCTGTGGGGACAATGCCAGCGTCAATGGCTGCAGCAGGCATCCCAATTGTTGCTGCTGCTGCTGCTGCTGATGATTCTGCTGATGGGCAAAGACCCCGGCAGCGGCCCCACTCCCAACACCGACGTTGACTCCACCCGGATACTGGTCGGCGAGCGCCGTTTGATTAGCAATTATTGCTGACTTTGCATTCTGCGGCGATGTCGTCGCCTGGACAGCCACGCTGCTCTTCAGCTGGAATCCAAACTGTTGGGGCTGCTGCTGCTGCTGGTGCGGATGTGTATGCGAATGCGGATGGGGATGCTGTTGCGGATGCGAATGCGAATGCTGTTGCTCCTGTTTGTATTGGGACCAGTGGAGGGCACCGGGCGCCGCCGTTGTGGCTGCCGTGGTGGCCACTGCCGCCGCGGTGGCGGCATTCGAGAGCAGACTCTGCTGATGCAGCAACAGCTGCTGTTGGGGCAACAAATTGGCCATGGCTGCCATGGCAACGGCAGCCACCTGCTGCTGATGATGATGCTGCTGTTGCTGCTGCTGCACTTGCTGCGCCTGTTGCTGTTGTTGCTGGTGATGGACGGCTGCCGCTGCAGCAGCGGCCACCGCGGCCGCACTATGATGGTGCTGGCCATGTTGCTGTTGCTGCTGCTGTTGCACGGCCACGGCCAAGCCGTTTCCGTTGGTCATCAGACGCTTCCGCTTCTTTGCACGCACTCCATTGGAGCCTCCTCCGCCCCGCAGCTGGGTTGAGGAGCAGTAGCTGTCGTAGAAGTAGTCCCTGGGGGGAGAGACACAAGCAGCAGGAAGGATATCATTACACGGGGGCTAATACGCTAGGCAAACATTTGCTCGCTAATTGAAGTGTCTGGCAGGACCCCCCAAAAAGTATGCAACAAAGAAAATAACTGGAAAAATGGTTGGCAGACACACAGATACCGATACCCCTTGCCATTAACTGAAAGTGAACAATCTGCCAACTGTTGCCCCACCGCAGTGTCTGTAAGTCAGTCTGTCAGTCAGTCAGCCCATCAGTCCAGTCCGTCTGTCAGTCAATATTTGTTTAGGCCTCGCCGTTTGCATTGTCATTTGGCAATTGCGTTTGCCCTCCCGCCGGTTTATGTTGCCAGTGATTGATACAATGGCCCGCAACACCCTTCCACCCCCCCCCCCCCCCTTTCTCCAGGCATTTGTGGTTAAATGAGTGTGCCAGAGTGGGCGATTCAGGGTTCAGGGTTCAGGGTGCTGGCAAGGGGTGGGTGAGTGGCGCAACAATTGCGGCTTTTCGGTGGGTTTGTGTGTGTGGTCAGGGGAATCGGATGAGAGAATGAGTGAAAGCAGCCGTTTAATGACAAACAGGAGAGCACCTGGACGGACGCAACGGATGGGTGGGCCTGCGGGACCGTGACATGTTTGCGTTTTAATTACAATCAAGTCGATGTCAGATGGATTTCCTCTTCGAGCCCCATGGCGATGCGATGCGATGCGATGTCCTTTTAAAGCCTTAACGCATTTCACTTCGGCGTCATTAAGCTTAAATTAAATATTTCCACACGAGTGCAAAAGGCTGGCGAGAAGGCGCCGCCGCGTCCGGGACTCAAGACCCAAATAAATTGTGAATGTCGCTCAGTCATCATTACGGCCGCGCCAGGACAAACAAGTGCACATGTCAGAGCCAGTGCCAGGCAACCCCCCACAGCCACGGCTCTTGGTGGGACAGTGGGACAGTCGAGACAGGCAGGACATTATGGCATACATTGCAACTGTCACTCACAGCGCAGAACTCGCAGAAAGAACCCGGTAGTGTGTTGACGCAGCACTCGAACTCTCTCCCCACACGGACACACGGACACAGGAAAACTCGAGTGACCCACACACTGCAGACGGTTGGGAAATGGAGACGGGGAAACTTGGTCTGGTAACGGTTACAGGAGGAACGGAACGAGGCGACTCGGCCATCGGCCAGCAGTTGACAGCCAAATATTTTATGCCAGACGGGCGCTGAAACAAAGGACGGGCCCTCATGGCCATCGCCTGATGAATTGTTCCTTATTTGTTTATTTATTTTGGGGCGAAACTTTCGGGGGTAGTTGCATGGTACAGAAACCCCCAGAACAATCCAAGCGAAACCGAGCGAAAGTCAAGCCGTTAAATGATATGTAAATAAACTCTAAATGAATGCCACATGGCGATGGCGATGGCGATGGCGGCGTTAAATTGACCAAAATAAACTTTTAGATTAAATTGAAATGAGCTGCAATGGAGATGTATCCCAGCAGGCATTCCGTAATCATCGTAATCGTTTTTTTTTTTTTTGTCCCACCCACTCACCAATCGTTTCCCGTCTTGCTCACATTCTGTCGCTTCCTACCGATCTGGTGTGCCTTCGGCTCGGCCACCATGTTCACATCTGCAAGGGAACAGAGAGAGAAAAAAGATTAGATGGAGGTCGAAGGATGTAGGACTCGTATTTGGTTTCCCATTCCTAATTGCAAAAGGCAATCTGCTGTGGGCCCCAACAAAATAAAAACATAAACAAAAATACACACACAAATTTTCGGGTGAGTCTTTTGAAGTCATTGTCTTCTAAACAACATCAGGCACAAAGACCAGCAGGACAATGGAATGGCATCCCTTTTTGCTATCTTTATCATTTCAGTTCCTTTCATTATGCAAATGAATGGACGAGGGCTGTGAGTGATTAAAAAATTGCTATGCTCCGTCTACATGCATCCCCCACATTGGCCAGCTGCATTGCCGAACCACGACTAATTCAATCTGACTTCAACGCTCCGCCGCCGCCCCCCCAATCATTAATCTTAATAAAACTGCAGCACAGGCAAAACTGTATACATTGTCAGCTCTTCTTTATGCATAAAACAAAAACAATGAGGCCGCAGGTCGCACAACAAATGCACTCCACATTTATTTATGGCACAGGTTACAAAAAATATCAACAGCATAGACAAGCGATGGAAATACGGAGATTCTAAAATCAATAGCTTAATTATGAATAGCTTTTCCACACAACAAACTCCATGCAAATGTTAGCTGTTCCTTCCGCTTAAAGGGTATACAAATATCAGGAAGCAACGGATTCATGCATTTCATTTTTCAATGAAAAGGGTGCGACAGAGGCTGTTTTTTTTTTGTTGTTGTAGAGGAAATCCTAAAGGGTGTGTGTGGGAGCAGGGAGCAGCAAAGGGCAGGAAGACACTCGCACAGCCCACGCTCGTTCATCATAATTCATGACAAAGTTTGAAGTGCGACGGCTGCGCCGCCGGGGGGCTTAGGGCCAGAAGCTACACGGCCAAAACACAAGCCACAGTCGAAGAGAGAGAGAGAGACAGGAGCAGACAGAATCAAAGCAGGAAAATGGGAGTGAGACGTTGCTATAACTACAAATTGGTGGGTGAGTGGGAGTGGTGGATGGGAAAGCGGTTGGTGTGTGCGGGGGGAGGCGTGATAGCTTTTCCACTTTCTTTTTTTTCAGTTCTTTGCCTTTGCCATCTTCTGCTTTGTTTCAGTCTTTTCTCCATTCCATTCCTTTCTCTCTGTTTTTGTTGCCTGCTTCCCGACCGCCCTGCTGCTGTCTGACTGCTCGGCTGGCAGGCTATAATTAAGATTAAGGATAAAAGCGTAAGAAGGATTTCCACCAAGGCTCCAGCCGCCTCGGTCCAGTCCTGCTCCAATCGGTTTAGCTGCGGCCTGGCCGCATTCCACCCAACTCCAGAGTCAATGGCGCGTAGCAATGAAATATTACAGGCTGCGGCGCCTCCACTTCACGCTGGGAGTGGACTCGCGGGCTGTTGGCTCTCGTTCCTAATCAGAGGAATTAGCATTCCACATTTAGCATTCTGCATTTGCATAAGCAGAGCGAAAGCTTTTTATGAGTGCTGTTTAAGTTATTTTCTTTTTCCATTCCCTTTGCCTGCCAGCGGGTCGTATGAATATGAAGCATCCGCAACGTTGCCAGCAGTACATCTCCATCGCCCCATTTCTTTCTTCCGTCATTCCGGCCATCATCTCCATCAGCTGACACAGCGCACTAAGTGCATTAAGTTGTTCTTCACACGAGCAAAATGGAGGATTCACAGCCAGCCAGAACGCACTGCCAAAGAATGGCGAAAGCGAATCGGTGGCACGTCAACGTTGCAGCTGCAACTGGCAACTGGAATTATTTCATTAAACGCTCAAACGAAATTGCCAAGCAGCCAACCAGCCAGCCAGACAGACAGACAGACAGACAGACAGTCGTCGGTAGTGCCTGCCAGGTAGTCAGGCTGTGTCAGACAATCAGACTGTCAGACAGACAGACAGACATACAGCACAACATTGAAATTTCATTAAAAGTATCGCGCCAAGATTTATGTCGGTCGCACTTTAAGTTTCTGCGGCCTGCAGCCACTTCCGCACTCTGCCCGGGGAAAAATACTCAGACAGCCGCTTGTGGTTGGGTGCCTAAGATATGGCCACTACACATGCCAGGGTCTCGACTCGACTCCTTCATTACCATTGCCTCCCCACCTACTATGTATGGCAACCAAAGCCATACTCATACTCATCCTTAGACTCTGACTCTGCCTCTGAGACTCGCCCTCTTTGTGGCTTTTTTCGCGCGTTGGTTCGATTTTAGTGCTGCGCTTCCGGTGCCGGCGGCCATTAACCTGACGACCCGCGCTATCCTTGTGCCACAATGGACATGCAACTGCAGCGGCCCGGATCCTTGTCCGGGGACTAGGGTTAAGGTCTGGAATGTCTATGCAAAGCAGCTGTGGCTTCGAGGTGGAGAAATTTTTAAAGTACAGTGCAAAAGAAGGATTTATTTTAAGCTGAATATTGAATGAGGATTTTCTCTTTGAAAGAGATTCATATGAAACCTATATCAGCATATATCCCACAAAACCATATCCGTGGTATTTTTAGGCCTCAGGACTCACCTAGGGTCTGGCTGAGGACCGTCTTGCCATCCTCGCCGTGGCAGGCATTGCGGGCATCGAAGGGGTTGGTGAACTGCACAAAGGCATAGCCCTTATGCATGGATATGCCTGAAACAAAACGACAATAACAATAACGTTACGTACATAATCGTAGGGGAGGGACCTTCTGTTCCGACTTACCCGCTAGTCGGCCATAGATCTGGAACATGCGCTCCACATCCGTTTTGGAGCATTGAAAGGTATTCAGATTTCCCACAAAGATGCGCGAGTTAACCGCCTGCGGATCCTGGGAATTCGTCTGATTGGACAGCTTTGACAGCTTCATGGTTGAGATGGAACCAGGACCAGGACCACCCAGGGACACGGGCACGGGCACCGGCGCAGCCGCGGCGCACGTGTGTCCAAAGTACAAGAAAGCAATCCTGGCGACTCCTTTCTGTTCCTCTTATTTTTGTTGTTGTTGTTTCTGTTTCTGCTGCTGCTGTTGTTGTTACCTTTTTCTAAAGCTGTTTCTGGTGCTGTTCTTGCTCCTGTTTCTGCTGCCTTTTTGTGCTACTTTTTGTGAGTATTTTCCGCGTTCGCTGACTGTTTTTGTTGCTGTTGCTGTTGTGGCTTAGACGGCGCTTTGTTGACGGCTTTGTATGCACCGCTGCAGCTTATTTCATTTGCAGTAGGATTGAGTCGGCACGGCACTGCTGACTCCTCACTTTTGCAGCGTCCCCAAATCTGTGACTGGCCGCAGATTGTCCGGCTTTTGCTGGGTGAAATCTGTAAAATAAGACCAGAGCAAGTGCGTACACAATAAATAAAAATCGCATTCGCTTTTGTTTCCTTTTGTCTGTCTGTGTCCCCCGTCCATGTTCCTGTCTGTCTCCCTCCCTGTCGCTATTGTTTGTCGTTTGGCTTAAATATCAAATGGATATCATCGTTTCGTATCGTATCGGTTTCTGTTCGCGTATTTGCGTTTCATTTATAGGAACATGTACACACGAGCACTATATAGGGGAGGGGGATTTATTCTGTGTTGTTTTTGGGGGATTTTCATCTTATTGCGAGGCAATTAAAATGCAAAAATGCCTTTTTAATTGAAAGGAACTTTTTCGGACTTTGCCTTTTTTTTTGCCCTTAAAGTGATGGCGGGTTTTTAGTGCAGCTGATTTCAGATATAATTCGGGGAATACTTCCTTTGGCAGATCTCTGATCAATGGAATGGAAATTGGGTTAAAAAAAACCTACTTATGTGGAGTACAGAGCCAAACCAATCGCATTTGTTAAAAGCTCTTTCCTGAAATTTAAGGAGAAATTTCCTTTTAGCAACTTTTACTCGTTCCTTCTCTCATTTGCTGCTACACCGTTTCCTTCGGTGTCCTTTTCATATTTATGTCCATTTGCTTTTACTTGGAACATGTTTTGTGCTTGTTATTAAATTAAATAACTTTCAAATGGCTTACACATACGAGAACGAACACGAGGACGACGAGGAGTACCATTACCCTTCGTTGCCAACACCTCGTTGGGGAAAGAGAGAGAAAGAGATATGAGAGAGAAGGGACGTAACTCTGTCGGCGTTCATGTAAAAGTGAAAAATTAAGCGTTTTTATTGCGCTTTCGATGGCGCAACACTGCAATGCCTTCTGCCTCCTGTCTCCTGGCCCCGTGCCACATTGTGGCAACATGTGTGTTCAATGTGTGCGTGTGGTGTGTGGAGAGGCCCTTTGCATAGCTCTCCCTCACTCTGCATGTGTGTGTGTGTGTGTGTGTGTGCGAGAGGAAGGGCATTAATATGTACAAAAGACGTGCATGAAATAAAAATAAAACATGCAGCAATAAAAATAAAATACTCGTGTACTAGCAAATTGTTAATGTGATTTTTATGCAATCGCTCGACGCTAGCCCGCCATCCTACCCCCAGACAAACTGCTCCCACCCCTCACTGTATTTATTGCAGATTTATGGCCACGCGGCAGTTGGTGTTAATTGGGAAAGCTTTTTGGAAAGCCCCGACTTGAGTCTAATGCGGAAGGAAATAAGCTGATTAAAGAGTGTTAAACGGGAGAGCCACAAGCTTTTGCTTCGAAATATAGAAAAGAATTCAGGATTAATGTTTCAACTTTGAAAATATCCTTTTTACAGCTTTCTAAATAAAATATATATATAATATAATATAAAATATAAATATAAATAATATAAATTTAAATAAATATAAAATCTAAATAAAATGCCATACAAATGTTATTTTTTAAACTTCAAACTAACTCCGCAGGAGTATATGTCAAGAACCAATTCAAGAGCTCAGCAAAAGAGTGTAATTCCTTGAGTATAGTGTAATCATTGATCGGTATCAAAGGCTGTGGCCATCAGCTTTATTAAAAGCGTTTCTCGCATTGTTTGGCATAAATTAAACAGGATGCACACACAGAGACAGAGAGAGAGAGAGAGAGAGACAAACAGACAGAGAGAGACAGAGATAGAGACAGATAGATTCAGACAGAGATAAAAGAGATAGAGTGAGAGGGATAAAGAGTAGCTGGGATATTCATGGCTTTGGCTGCATTGTACGCCAGTTATGAGTGAAAGGCTCTTTATTTATTATAATGGCATTCCTGCCTGCCATTCTCGCCTCAGCCGATTCATCCATTCATTCACCCGTTCAGGCCCATTCACCCATTCACTCACTCACTCACTCACCCGTTCAGTCAGTCAGTCATTCAAAAGCTTTCTATTTTTGTGTCGCATTGTCCTTGCAAATGAAGGAAAATCGCTGCGAGCCAGCATGTAGCCGCCGGCTCAATTCTGAGCTTCCCCCTGAACGGCTGACGTTCGTTCTGCACCAACCACCCCCCACCCCCCGCCACATTGTTGTGGCCGTTGTGGGTGGGGTACAGACAACAATCAGAGCCGGAGCAAGAACCGTATTGAATAACCGTTTGAATATGCAACACTTTTCGTGGCCTACTTTTCGGCGCTGTAGGCGTTTTAATGAACGCAACTTTAATTAAGAAAACAGCAAGAACGAAGAAGTACGATGACGACGAGAAAGCTCTGACAAATTAAAGCTGCTGCAACTCCTCCATCAGCGGGTGGCTAAGTCGTTTCATGGCTTCTGCACCGGATCCTGCCTCCTGTGGCTGTGTGCTGGGATGTGTGTACTCCTTCAGTTAAGAGAGTGCCTCAAAGTGGTTAAGTTAACTCGGATGCTTAATTATAATTAACTGCACTGCCGAGCGGCAAGCCCAAGCCCAAGTTCAACCGCTAGAAACGGTGCAGCAAATTGCCGCAGTTCTTTTCCTTTAGCCATCTCTCTCTCTCTCTTCCTGCTTTGCTACTACTTACTCTCCTCCTGTTGTTTTAGGCCCAGGACAAAGCCTGCCAGTGGCTGCACTTTTATTTTCCAGACGCCTGAGCGCAAAAGTAAATTAAGACGCTTTCGTGGCAAGTAAGTTAGTAAAAGTCCCGTCGCCCCCCGCCAAGGCAGAGGCAGTGAGGACTCCTCACCGCCAGCTCAGGAACCGACTCCGATCCGGCTTTACATGTGAGCTGAACTTTGCAATTGCGTGTGTGGAAAATACACACAAAAATACACTGGGGGCTAGTCGGCGAACGAATGTTCTTTGCAGTTAAAGCTAACCCACGGGGAGTTCTACGGTTATATTTTCCATTCTTTGTTGTGAGGAATCTCTGGAATAACTTCGGCCATTGCTGTATTCCAATAGAAGGATTCATGTTCATAGAAGTTCCTTCATCTGTGCTGCACAAACCTTGCCAAACATTCAGTGGACTCTCCACCCATCGAGTGCTTAATTACTTCAGCTGCATCCTGTCCGGAATCGAGCCGCCTAATGCCCTGCATTGTCTACGGATTAAAGTCAACGACTTGTGTGGACTATATTTCTGGCTTCTTTTTTTTCTGCACTCGTGTTAAAGCGTTCTGATGGGAAACACGACGTGCTATAAATAATGCAGCAAGCCATTAAGCTGCTGCCTCTGCTGCTGAAGAGCCAACGATGTGGCGATGTGCTCTCGCCAGGATTATCGGAGGCAGGCGATCAAATGTCAAAGGACACATTTCGTCACCACGCCTGTTGCTATTTACTGCCTACAAGTGTGGGCAGAGGCTATACCTCTGCCACAATAAGGGGTGGGTGGCACACATCATATCATTCTTTCTGTGTTTTCTTTTTCCCTCCATCCATCCTCCATACATATGTTTATATGGCAGATAACTTTTCATTTCAAATTGCTCGGGGGAGTGATGAGGGCAGCAGCCCTAATAGCGCTACACAAAAAATGAATAGACATCTCCGTGGCCCATTCAAAAAGCCGAAAAGTCAACAAAAGATACCACCAGTGGGGTAGGATGGCCGGTCTCGGTCTTTGCTACGAGTCGTGCCACATAGAGCGACAAATAACCCCAATTGAATGGAGTAGATGGGAATGGGGTTCGGGTTGGGGTATGAAGGCGTTGGAATGATGATGATGGCATGTGTGTATTGACAAGCCAGCAAACAACTTTATTCATAAGCAGTCAAACAGGACGAGACCCGGACGGACCCGTCCAGACCATAGCACCAGACGTGACCCTCCCGACCCGACCAGCCCAGGCCAGGCCGCACACAGACAGAATCCGGGGAATGCATATGCGACCAGAGATGACTTCACGTCTGCCTGCGATAACTCAGTGGAGTTTATGGAACACAGAACGCAGGGCCAGACCAGGTTGTTCCTCCACATGCTCATTCTCATCGCTTTTGGAAACTTTTAAATTCCTCAAAAGAGCTCAACATTGTCGATAAGCGGTGAACGTGCCGTGCCGTGCCAGTGAATGCTGTGGTACCCGCTTTCAGTTGGAGTATTTTTGGCTCTATTCTTAATTCATGTATGCAACAGGCTGAAGCTAGAGGCTGGATTCGTATATCCTAAGGCCTATTCCCAAATATTTGAAGGCATCTGTAGTGTGTAAAAATTCCTAAAATTCTTAGAGCTTTGCATGAGTGTGCTCTCCTGTATATTTCCCTAACAATAATTGTGAACTGGGAGGGAATCCTGGAATATGAACCATAACCATACCATTCTGCTGCTGCTAATTTATTGTAATTCACAAAGCAATTTACAGAAAAAATAACTAGCGAACAGAAAGGGATACAGTTATATAAAAACTCGTATATGAGCTATTTAATATATGTATTTATTTTTGCAAGCGTGCGAGTATTAAGTGCCAACTATTTGCATAAATAACAAGAAATTAATAAAAAACACACGGCACCATGGCAGCAGCCGCACAAAAGTTAATAATTGCTGCATGTCAACAGCAGGTGGGGCCGGGGGAGTGCGCCTGACATGTGGGGCACATATAAATGAAAAATATCCCAAAATGGTGGAGGCGGGTGCGAGGAGAAAAACAGTGGGGGAAAACAGAAGCAGTCTCTACTGAAATACCATTTTATCACTTGACAGTAAATGCGTTTTATTGCCGCTGCTCATTAAATAAATTAAATTTGCAAACGAACGGCAGGAAAATGGAAACGGAATAACGGAAAAAAATATAAAGTATTTAAACAATTATCCCGAAAGAAACTCCACGCGCTTTAACACGCGACGGATGGACTCTCATTCACATCTCCGCGGGTGTCCGAAGTGCCAGTAAAAATTTCACTTTTCGATCGCATCGCATGGAATTCATCTATATATTAAGTTTAATTGCTGTCAGAAACTTCAATGCCACAAGCGGCACAGCGAAAATAAACATTTAATTTATTTATAATTACTCGAAAGCAATCTTAAAAGGTTGCACATCCCGAAAAGCAATTAAATTTTAATAAATAAACGGCTTAAAAAGGTTTTAACAGAAAATATGAGCTACGAGCTGCAAAAGTTAAAGACGTCCTTACCACAAGGTAGCCTTTTGATAGGGTCAATCGAAGGATCAATCTACGTGAATACAAAAAAATAATATTCTCTTTGCATTGCAACCAAAGTATAGGGTCAGAGAAAAGCTTTGGGTAATACACAAACGATTTACAAAACAAACAACAAATGTTGTCTAAGTTTTAAATTTCAGCGTTTAATTTTTCGATGCAGCCCAAATATATGCTGTCGGAAAATATTGGGTTCCGATTTTGGGAATATATATTCTGAGATTATATATATATGCAGGTATATTCCTTGCTAAGTACCATCCGATTTTGGAAGTAAGTACGTATGTACATTCGTACTCCCACTGCAGCTGCTTGGCGGGCATCTGTTTACAGGACTGTTAAAGTGTTAAATTTATTGCTGCTCGTCGGCAGTGCTATTGTGGGTCCTGTCCGCCGTTGCAGTCATGTGGCATATATTTGTTTTATTCCGCTTTTTTCGGGTCGGGTCGGGTCGGGTCGGGGTTCGGGTCGGGACAGTGGCTCTACGGTTCAGACTGCGGTTCTTTAGCGTGCATTCATTCATTATCGCCCGTCTGTATCCGTATCCGTATCTATAACTGTGTGTGGGTAAATGTGTGTTTGTGTGTGTTTGTTTCGGTATATGTGGTTCGTCTGGTGTTGCAATAAAAATGGCTTGAATATTTTCCAGTTTGTTATGCATTTCTCTGCCACTTGGAGTGCAACAACAATTATGAATAACTCTCTGCACATAATGGTCCGTAGCTGGGCCGGAGTGTGGGGGCGTGGCGTGTGTGTGTGTGTGTGTGTGCGGAATCGATGGCGGACGAACGGTCGGAGAGTGGGCTGGGGTGGGCACTATGCGCATACACATATATCACTTCCCCAATTACGTGGCAGGGAAAACAGATGGGGTAGAGGACCTATGGGAAGGCGAACGATGACGTTTGCGACAGTAATCAAATAATTGTTGCTCTGACTGTCATTCCTTTACCATATTTCCCTTTTTGCTTTAATTATTTGCACAGTTTTCCATTTTGCAATGGATCTGGCTCGGAAAGGGAGTCTGCTGTAAAAAGGATTCGCGGATAAACGTCTGATTACCACGAAAGGCTCGTTGTTGTAAATAAAGCTATGTGTGTCCTTTGCGCTTAATTGTATGAATGATACGCGTATGTTATCCGCTTATCGCATTTTTACAGTCAAGCGATAATTGTATAACCAGTAAAGACAACAATTCCATTCAAATTAGAGACCGAATAGTTCCAGCGAAAAAAGAAATCCCGGAGTATTTACTCTTCTTAGATTTCAATTAAACAGAAAAAAGGTTAGGTTTTTTTGTTAGTTGTATCCCACAATTAAGTATCGAACTCTTTTCCATTATCAGTATTTCCTTTTTTTCCTACATAGTCGTATATCGAGTATGCGCGCACGCATTCCACCGAAACAGAAACAGTTATTCCACTTGAACAGATTCCATTGGTGATTTAATTGTAGCGGATTTTCAACAATGAATTCCATTAAAAATATTTTAAAATAATTTTGATTATTGAAATTCACACTCACACTCATTCAAGTTCATATTTATGGTCATTTTCATATTCTCAATCACATGGGGAGGAGTGCTGCCAAAGCATTGGCGCCTATTTAATTATCCAATTACAGTGGCAGCAGCGCAAGAAATTAACTTAAACGGGAAAACATTTCCCAGGCAGCCCAGCCAGCACTTTAAAACACTTCAATGCAAAAATGCATGCAAATTCATTGAAATATGGTGGAAAATTGTGGGAGTGTGGGGGGGCTGGAGTCTGGGCGGAACGGAAACAAACGCACAAACATTGGTATTTGGTTGGAATTTTCGGCTATCGCTTTTGGCTGAATGCGGATTCGGTTTCGGTTTAGGTCTCGGTTGTGTTTTCGGATTCGGTTTCGGTTTGTTGTCGATATTTTGTGCATTTTTATGCCCTTCAAGAGGAGGAGAGCATGAATTTGTGATGGCTGTTTGCAACGCAGGGATGCTTTCGGTTTAAAAGTGCGATCATATATATTGGATCTTTATTATCATTTAGAAAGAATCACATATGAAGGCATAGGTTCAGCATTTCTCAGACTCTCTCTAGACTTTCGAATTTTCCCTTCGCTCAATTAAGGTTTCATCTGCAAGAGTATTTGAAGCTTCGGTCTTCTAAATTGCCATCTTTTAGCCAACACACGCATTTTTGCGGTCCATTAAAATAGTCAACGGCAGCGGGACCAGAGCACAGGCAGCGCAGCAGCAGCATCCATTTGGTCTGGTCTCTGTGAAAATTGTGAAAATTGTCACACTAAAGAAACGGCAACGACAACATCAGCAACAGCAGCAGCATCATCGACGACAGCGACATCATAACGGGCAGGGAAATTCATGGAAGAGCCGCAGACAAATATAGAAAACTCTACAAAAAAGACCAAAGCAGGGTCAAGTAAAGAGAGAGAGAGAGAGAGAGAGAGCGCAGCCAGTCTACCGCTCTCTGCGACTCTCTTGCTCGCACAGCGACGATTAACGTCACCACATGTGTGGATGACTCACTCGGCGAGGCGGCGGCAGTGTGACTAATTTTTCGAGAGGCGACTGTGACTTTGGCTCTCTCTCTTGCACTGGGGAGCGTGCGCAACACACTCAGCGGCAGGTAGCTGTGCGCACTGGAGCAAGCGGGATGGCGTATGTTCGAGTGGCCCCATACACACATGGTATAACCAGCGCAGGTATGGGGCAACTCAGCAAAGCCGCTCGCAATGCTTTCTGTATAAAGAGATTTAGTTAGGCCCCCGAAGAGCGGTGCCCAACCTATTATGGCTGCACTGTGGCCCCACAAACATTTGGAGAGCGCCAACGCGTTGGATTCTGTCAGCAATTTTCATTGCTTCTCCGCTCACTGAAGGCGTCGTTTGGGTGTGTTTTCTGTAGCTGCTGGCCATCGATCGCATGCACTTCTGGAGGCAGTCTCCTCTCCCCCTCTGTGCGGACACTCAATTAATTCATTAACAAATATTTGCCTGAGAAAAAGAACAGTGCCGTCGTATATTCATTGAATGCTGGAATAACTGTTGATCTATAATTGCAATCCACCGAACTGTGAGTGTGTGTGCGTGTATGTGTGCTAGTGCGTGAGCAAAAATTATTGTATAATCGCCAAAAAAAAAAAAAACTTAAAACGCCAACGCGAGAGCGAAAAACTTGTTGAACGGCAGATCCCCACACACCCCCGACGAACTACCGAACCACGGAACCACCACCCACCAGCAATCTATATACATAGATTACACAGCAGCGACTACGTCATGCAGGCCATCAAATGCGTTGTTGTTGGCGACGGAGCCGTGGGTAAGACCTGCCTCCTGATCAGCTACACGACCAATGCCTTCCCGGGAGAATACATCCCCACGGTGTTTGATAATTACTCGGCCAACGTGATGGTCGATGCCAAGCCGATCAATCTGGGACTGTGGGATACGGCCGGGCAGGAGGACTACGATCGGTTGCGTCCGCTCTCCTACCCGCAGACGGATGTCTTCCTCATCTGCTTCTCGCTGGTCAATCCCGCCTCGTTCGAGAACGTGCGCGCCAAGTGGTTCCCGGAGGTGCGTCACCACTGCCCCAGTGTGCCTATCATTCTGGTGGGCACCAAGCTGGATCTGCGCGATGACAAGGCCACCATCGAGAAGCTCAAGGACAAGAAGCTGACGCCCATCACCTATCCGCAGGGCCTGGCCATGGCCAAGGAGATCGGAGCCGTCAAGTATCTGGAGTGCTCGGCACTGACCCAAAAGGGCCTGAAGACGGTCTTCGATGAGGCCATTCGCTCTGTGCTTTGTCCGGTGGTTCGCAGGCCCCCACGTCGCATGTGCAAGCTGCTGTAGGGCGGCGACAATAAACAGAGAGAGAGAACAAAGTGCAAAAAACTCTTTTTTTGCAAACAACACAAAAAAAAATGAAAAAGAAACATAAAATAATGCATGGGTTTACAGTTACAGCTAATGTACGTGTGAGAGAGAGCGTGTCAGAGTGAGTTTATGACAGAAAAAGAGAGAGAGAGTGTATGTGTGAATGAGTGAATGAGCCAAGGTGTGTTAATGCAAGGTGAGGCTTCGTTCCCAAGGAGTGGATGAGCACGCGCCCTATCCTGTTTTCAAACGCCTCAAAAAGAAAAAAGAAGAAAAAAAAGAGAGAGTGGAAAAGAAAATCATCAACTCGTTAAGGGGGAAATGCCTCACCTTATAAAGAAACACCAGCGTAATTTTGGTTTTTATTGTCAGCTTTATGTGTGATGTGTGTGGTAGGGGGAAGGCAGCTACGCAGCAGCAGCAGCAGAAATAATCATTGAGAGTGCATCCAGCAGGGCGAGGCGGGGGGCCCAGAGAAGCACCCACCCATGCCTGTGTGTGGATTGTGGATGATATGTGTGTTTGCGTGTGTGAGACAATGGGTGTCTCAGGCCGCAGGAAATGTATGACAAATCAAATAAAATTAATTGTAAATAAATCTAGATACACGCCAACACACACACACAAAACACTGGCATTGCAGGAGATAAGAGCTGGGGAGCCCCGCCCAGCACCTATCATCGAACTGAAAGTCGACAAATGCGGGGAGGATATTTTTGGGGGGAACTTTCAGTTTTTAGTTTTGTGTATTTTGCATTTGATTTATATAACGTGTGAATAATGTCTGAATTATGTCTGAATTAATGCCACACTAAAGCCCCCATTTAGCACTACTTTGATGTTAATTGATCCACTGATATATTTATAACTTGTTTTTAATGAGAGTGCGTGCGCAGACACTTTGCCAAATTGTTTTTACCGACCATAACCCTAATTTATATACATAAATATATTAACAACAATTTACTACTACAGTGTAATGTTAATAAACACAATAAATACCATTGTAAAAAGCAAAATAAACGGATTTCGAGTGAATTACGAGTATTTGGAAAGCAAATGGATTTTTCAGCGCCGCACTTCAGATACAATGGGGCTAATGATTACAGTCATCATAGTAGGAGCCAATACAGCAAGGCATCTCTCTATTAGTACAATTTTCAGCTTTTTGGTTGTGATTTTCTGTCTGGAATACATTTGTGTTTGAAAACAAGAGCATACTTTCGGGTGGCTGCCACAAATCGTGTACACATCAGAACTCTAATCTTATCGTCACAAATTCTGATAATTATTTCCGATTGCCGGACGACCGGATGTCCAGAATCGCCTTTGGTCGCCGTTGACTAAGCAATTTGTCAGGGCATAATCATAAACAATATTTCCCATCATTCACGGCATTTTTGTGTTGCCAATTTCTATCTATATTTCGATTGTCATAATGAGCGAAAGCGACAACGACGACAACCGCCAGCTGTTGATTGATTGCCCATAGGCGGGCAGGAGGGCAAGAGTGGAGGTGTGACGGTGGCGGTATGTGTTGTGGGGGGACGAATGTGGTGCTGATGTGGGTGGGGGGCTCGCAGAGTGTGTCGAGAATGTCAGTGGGCTATGGCTCGTTAGCGGTTGGGTCTGTCCTAGAGATGGTCCCGTGTTCAGAACGGTAATACGTAATCTTAGCAGCTAATGAAATTCAGTCTAACTTTATCTATTACTAAATATTGCCAGCAAACACGTATGTGATAGGTAACATTTGTGTTTATGCGAATTTATATTTTAATTGGAAAAGAAAATTAAATTAAAACAAAATGTTTGTACTTTTGGAAACCCAAATTACATATTACCTTTATGGAAAACGAAGCAAGCCTTCAAGTTTCCCCGGCACCTCATATATTGCCCTTCAGCTTCTCAGGACGGATATTTTTGTGCTTATTTGGCACGGAAATGCACGAAGCACAGCCTGTGGCCATCTCTAGTCGGCAACGCTCGTCCCAGTGTGAATTTGACAAATAATTACGTAAGGCAACCTGCTGTTCCGCCTCCCCAGGAGTGGGGACTCGCCTCTCTCTCTCTCTCTTGCTCAGAAAGCATCTCAAAGCAATTCAATGCCAGGCACTGCCTCTGATGGATGTGCTGCTGGTTCCACCGCTGCCCTGCCACCCTGCTGCACCACCCTGCCATCATTTTTGTCTGTGACGCGACGAATCGCATAATTGACCCACATTGTGAACAAACATTTCTGCCAGAGGAGAGATATAATCGTACGCGTACTCGTTCGCGTAGAGAGGCTGTACTATGCACTAAAGTCAATTTAATTAGCATAAACATTCCCAGAGCGTCTGGGAACTGAAACATGCACCTTTGGCACTCGACTGCGCTGCTTGTGAAGCGGAGGTGGAGGCGGAGGCGGCGGAGAAGGCGTTGACGGAGGTGGCGTTGACAGGCGTGGAATTTACAGAGAATACCTTGTTGCATGCCTGATGCTTCAGCCCCTTTTTAGCTCATACATATTATGTACGGAACATTGATTTGAAATAATGTCAATTTTCTTATAATTAAATTACTTTTCAGAAAGAAGAATATTGGTGCAGACGGCATATCGAAAGGATTTTAAGTCCCTTAGTTTTCGGAAGTCCTCTGCTATTTTAAACGAATACATCAAAGGTGGCAATGTTATACTTGGGAACACGTTGCTCTTCAATCTTCCACAGAACCAATGTTTTATTGTATTATTTATCAGATTTTTCGGACTTCTTTCTGAATCATGAACAAGCCTCAACGCAATGCAATTGAATTACGCAGTGATCTTCTCTAGTTTTCGTTTGAATTTCGCATCTAAACAATCCCAGATAATCAAATTCGAAGATAAATAAAAGCAAAAATGCATATAAATAAAAGTAGAATAAGTGGATGCCAGAGAAATGATAAAGATATTTAAATCCAACTTAAAATTCGCTTCAGTCCGGACCCATCCATGGGATTAGCCCCTGACTATTGCCACCATCTAATCGGAAAATGGGAAAACTACAGACTGGATGGCCTGGATACTAACTGCTGTGCCATGCAAATCCACTGACAAGTGTCCCATAATCAGGGCCGACTGCCGAAATGTAAATGCAAATGCCAAATGCCAAATTTATGCACTGCATGCGTGAAATTAAAAGGTTCCCCAGGGCGGCAGGACCAGAATGGTCTGCACAATTTGGCCGCGTTCATTCGGTTAACAATTTGGCTAAATCAATTATACGCACAGCGCACAATGCGAATTCAGATGTTTTAATTGAGAGATTTTCCAGGGAAAATGTATGTACCCATGTACATAGAAATGAAGAGGGAGAAACCAAGAAAAATTTAATACGAAAATTGCTGAACCCAAAGCGAGGCGAAAGAATTCATAGCTGGCCACAAATTTTCTACAAAATGCCAATAAAATACGCTCCAGCGCAGAAATTCCATTGCACATAAGAAGCAGGTAAATTCTGATAAAGGAAGGCATGGAAATTGGGGGGGCAGGCTACAAATATTTCACACTTCCGCCTGGCAGCTAGAGAGAGAGGGAGAGAGAGCCCACCTGAACCTCTGGGCCACCATCGCCGCGGCGTCTGTCAGCGATGCCAACAGGATATGACAAGCTCGACCATGGACTGACTCCTCTCCCACCTGGCTGCCCCCCAGCCAACGTATTTCAACATACTTCCAGCGGCAACTTCCTGCCAGAACACATTGCAAATTATTATGTGAGCTTTTACCCGGGGACAGGCGGTGCGAGAATGGGAGAGGTTGGGTATCCCAAAATTGCCAAATGGCTGTTGGTTTTGGCTGACGATGGAACAACAAATGAAACATGGAACGGATGCTGGAATTTGGGTAACATCTTGGAGGGAAGACACACACACAGCGAAGGACAATTGAATCCAATTTGGGGGCAATAATCAGCAGAAAGATATATGCAGATCACAATCCCAAAATACGTCACGATGTAAACTAAATAAATCTTCTAAAATCGATAAGCAAATAATGATGCAAATAAAATGAGGCGGTCATATAAAACTATCTATATTGCCATCAAATATTAGCGTAAATGATAGTACGACAATTGTTATAGATGTTCCATACTATCATGGACAATACAGGACCCAAGAGAACGGGACCATAAAATGGCCAGTGGTTGGCGGTTTCATGGAGAAGAGCCAACAAGTTTTGTGGCATAGCCAATATCCGCTGCAGGGACAAGGCACACACACACACAGATAACTTCTTTGGACTTGTTATTGATAATCTTTGTCAGGGCCTGACGTGAGCTTCGACAACAGCCAAACAAAAAAGGAAGACTCATGGCAGCTGGCGGCTGGTGACTTCGTACAGGACACGGCCAGGGGAGTAATGAACCGAGGCACGCCACAGACCGGCGACAGAGCCGTGTTTGTTTGGGCGATCGATGCAGGCTGCAAGAGGAGTCGAGTGTATTAAAAACAAAGTCACAATGTGTGTCCTGCATCCTTGTGCCCATCGCTGGCAACGCAGGCGTTGTCGTTGCCAAAGTCAATGAACAGGGACATGGACAGAGACACAGATACAGTTACGGACACGGACACGGTATATGGACTCTGGAGCAGACAGGATATGAAGCGTGTGCGAAAGTTTGCCACAATTAGGATGCGGATGCTGCCTCTTCCGGTCAGACGTTCTCCTTCGCTCGCTCGCTCAATAAAAAACTTTAAAGTTGCGTTTAAATATGCATTCCATAATTCATGGCCCCTCTCCTATCGCTGCACAACTCCACAGCCTGCAAGGAGCTACGATTTGCAGTCTGCCTTGACAGCAGCACGTTTCCGCCATTTTGTGGGCGCTGCCAACTTGTTGCATGCCGCATTTGAATGCCCACAAAAGAGGCATGACACCCAGACAGCGGTGGGTGGAGGGGAAAAACACATTCTATGGGCCTGGGGAATGTTGACATCCCGAACATGCTGAAATTTCCGCTCTCGACGGGCGGACATCGCGCGATGCCACAAGCTGAAAAGTCTGCCACAGTCTGACATTCAAAACGTCGCCTCCTCCATCCATACATCCATGCCCCCCCCCCCCCTTACAGGTGTGCAGGTGTGCATTCTATATGGGTTGGCATGGGCTGTGGGGGAGGCTTTTCATATTCAATTAAATACAATTACATCGGCCAACTGTCAGGTTTTTTCAGTTAATAATGAAAACTGCATTGAAAATACGAGCCAAGTCCCTGGGAGAGACCCAAGACGGCGGAGGTGGCCCGGGGGCAGCACTTAGAAGCGCCCCAGGTAGAAGCGCCCCAAGGTGTGTCTGTGTGTTTTTTTCCAATTTTTTCCACAGTTTTTTCTCTATTTTTGCCCGCTTTTCCCCCTGCTTGCTGTAACACAGTTCAAAGATTTTCCTTATTCTTTGGCTTATTTATGTTTTGCTCTTTATAAATATTTAACAAAATAAACACACAGATACAACACAGACGCAAAGATACAGATACGTATGTATGCAGGCAGTCAAAGGTTCTATTTAGATGTGCATAAAATAAATGATCTGTACATAAATATAATTCTAAAGCGGCACCCAAGGCGGAATAAAATCAAATCAAATGAATTTACTTTTTGATTATAATTCTTTCACTATAAATATATCTAGAGCAGTCGAAATTTATTCCCTCACTGCGCAGATTGACATTAATTGTTCAAATTAAAGCGGATATCTCTGCAAAGGAATGCCAAGTCTTGTGGAAATGTGGAAATTCCTTTGAAAGAATTACTATTTAATTGGAAAGATAAATGAATTGAAGGGTATAAATGGCCTATAGTTAGCAGAATATAAGGAAATTGGGTTGAAATGATGAAACTCGTAGATAGAATGTTGCAAAGAGAAAGGTATATCGGAGTGTCCCTGCCCTATCTATCTTGAATACTTTCTAAATATTTGCTGACATATTTCAGTCACAACATGTATATCTGCCACCCAGCCACTAAATTATTCAAATATGTGTACACCACCCAAAAAGCTCTTG